GAAGGAATCATCCAATTGAAAATCTATGGAAATTGTAATTAACGGATCAGATTTGAATATAGCTCCCATACATAGTGTCGTTCGATTTCATAAGTAGTGCACAATACAATACAAATGCGTAATATTCGTCCGTATCAAATCAATTTAGGTACACGCAGCCAGGTTCAGTCTAGAAGTATATCTGGCAATCGGTTCAGATTTCAATGCTCCCAAGTACTTCTAATTTGGTGAAAATCGGTATAGATAAAGTTATAGCTCCCATATATATGATTCATCCGATTGGGGGTTTAGTCCCTCACATTCGTAATCTGCACAAATACAATTCAAAAACATTTCTGACAAATTTCATCGAGATCGGTTCAGATTTGAATATAGATTCCATATATATCTTCATACAATTTCATATTTATTGTGCACCAAATATGTAATTTTAGGTCAAGTTGGCTGGTTTTTGGCAAATTCAACTGAATTTATCCTGGAGCAAATACGACACTTGTTGAAACTCTGTTCCCATATATAGCATTTTCAGATTAAATGAAACCTTTTTCAATTCAAATGAAACTTTTTGCAGTGGAAATGAAACCTTTTGCAGTGGAATTGAAACCTTTTGCAGTGGAAATGAAACCTTTTGCAGTGGAAATGAAACCTTTTGCAGCGGAAATGAAACCTTTTGCAGTGGAAATGAAACCATTTGCAACCGAAATGAAACTTTTTGCAAATCAACTTACACTTTTAAATTTATAGAAGGAAAAATAACAAAATATTTTTATTTTTAGTAGTTTTTAAAATAAAAAAATTAATTATAACTAATATATTTATAAAGAGGAATTTTTATTGGTTATAAATATCTCCATTTTTATATTATTTCTTAAATTTTCAATTATTGTAATAACAAATGGTTCTTTATTGATTTGATATAAAATGCCTCCATGTTATTAAATTCCAAATTCTTAAAGCTAAAAAGAGAAATTTAAACAAAATTTGGCCTTTATAGGTATGGCCAGGATGGAAACGTGAAATTAAGCTTTAACACAATTTTTATAGTTATAGTATACTATTAATCTTACCTAATAAAGGATTCCCGCTTCGCAGTTTTATTGATCATGGAGATAGAGCAGTCGTGATTTTAATAGACAGATAAGTGGAAATCATTAAATCTACTTTGATCATGATTGTATATACTTTATGGGGTCTACGACGAATATTTAGAGGTGTTACAAACCGAATGACACATTTAATATACCCTTCTTTCCATGGAGGAGGTTATAAAAATTCGGGTCCTTTGAAAAAAATACCTTGAAAACTTTTTTTAATCTTTCTGCTTCTACACTTGCGTTTTATGAAAGCTTTAAGAAATAGTTTTATAAAAACATAGATATTAATAATCAATAAAAATACCTCTTTAACTATATATTAGTTATAATTAGTTGATTTAATTTTAAACCTAATAAAAATAAAAATGTTTTGTTATTTTTCCTTCTACAAATCTAAAAGTTTCATTTGATTTGCAAAAAGTTTCATTTCGGTTGCAAAAGGTTTCATTTCGGTTGCAAAAGGTTTCATTTCCGCTGCGAAAGGTTTCATTTCCACTGCAAAAGGTTTCGTTTCCACTGCATGGAAAGGGGGATATAATAAATTTGTCATTCGGTTTGTAACACCTCTAAATATTCGTCGTAGACCCCATAAAGTATATACAATCATGATCATAGTTGATTTAATGATCAATAAAGCTGCGAAGCGGGAATCCTTTATTAGGTAAGATTAATAGTATACTATAACTATAAAAATTGTGGTAAAGCTTAATTTCAGTCCTGGCCATACCTATAAAGGCCAAAATTTGTTTAAAATTCTCTTTTTATCGTTAAGCATTTGAGATTTAATAATATGGAAGCATTTTATATCAAATCAATAAAGAACCATTTGTTATTACAATAATTGAAAATTTCAGAAATAATATAAATAAATGTAGATATTTATAATCAATAAAAAATCCTCTTTGTCAATATATTAGTTATAATTAATTGATTTAATTTAAAAACTACTAAAAATAAAAATGTTTTGTTATTTTTCCTTCTATAAATTTAAAAGTTTCATTTCGGTTGCAAATGGTTTCATTTCGGTTGCAAAAGGTTTCATTTCCGCTGCAAAAGGTTTCATTTCCACTGCAAAAGGTTTCATTTCCACTGCAAAAGGTTTCAATTCCACTGCAAAAGGTTTCATTTCCGCTGCAAAAAGTTTCATTTGAATTGCAAAAGGTTTCATTTAATCTGAAAATATATATATATATATATATATATATATATATATATATATATATATATATATATATATATATATATATATATATATATATATATATATATATATATATATATATATATATATAATCTCTTTAGATATTTTTTAAGCGAAATGGTGCATTAAAGAGATCGTGACAGAGAGCAGACGGTGTGACAGCTATTTTGATTGGGAGCGCTTCATTAGCGTTCGCGCATATGGTTAACCCAAAACACTTTTTTTAGTATGTGGGAAAACCTGCACTTGGCGATACTTTTATCATCATGTAGGTGACGTCTGATGAAAAAACAGCCAAAGTCTTTGCATGCTAAAAACACCTCTATTTTTGGTGCGTTTTCGCACCCGTCGGCGTTAATGGGTTAAAAGTGCAGACCAAGATCAAACGCACAGACAGACAGACCTCTCTAAATCTCTATAGCATGTTTCCATTTGAAACCAAACACATAGACAAATGAAAATACAGACAACGAAATGCTCTCACCATTTATCTTCGAAAAAAATCGGATCAGCAGATGTCGTCCATATCGTTTCAGGGGTTTGAGTGGGAATTTTGTAGTCACTCAATTCAAAAATGTTAAAAATAACAAAAACTGTAGGATATTTGTCAGTTGAAAATTATTTCATAATAAAAGAAATGTGAAAAGTACGTGATGACATCGAAAAATATGGAAATATTCCAGTGAAATTCTTGAAAAACGATGAAATGTGTTTTCGAAGTCGAATGGCTTGAACGCGTAAATCAGCATGTTGACTATGCAAAACATGATGAGAGCCACCTGGAAAAAAAGATAAAACTAACTTTTCGTTGTCTATTTCTTCATTTGACTATGCCAAACAACGCTGTTCGCACTCAGAATTATGCTAGGAACACAATTGGAGCGAACGACGAATTTCGCCCTACGCGGCGACAAAATGAGCCGCGAAAATTCGTCGTATGGAACACAATACCGACGAAATTATAAAACAGCTGATGAAGTTGTTTACTTTTTGCTCATTTGTTGACTACAATGAATTATACAAGAACACATAATTCTTTACGTTCTCTATTATAATTTCACTTATGTTCATCTTCTCTATTATAAATTCACTGATATCCATCTTCACTCAGGCGCAAGTACACAAATAAATAAACAAATTAATTATGTTTTTTTATACGAGTAACAGATAGTAGAGTGACCATAACAAATTTTAAAGTAAAAAGTAACTTTATTTACTAAAACACATAAAATTCATACAAGTATGGCCACCTTGTACTGTTTTGTTCGCCGGTCGCCGGCCTATGAAATAGAAATAAAGCTAATTGAGTTCGCGGCGACCGACGAAATTTTCGCCGGTGCCGTGATTGTGTGCACTTCCATATACACATATGTGTTTTATTTTTGACGACGAACATACGCCGCGAAAAAATTCGTCGTTCGCTCCAATTGTGTTCCTAGCATTACGCTGTGGTGGCAATGTATACGCTGGGCGTAAATTTTTAGAGGACTAATAACAGCATTAGAATAACAGATGTTGATTTTGCAGCTGGCCATTTGAAATGCCTTGAGTTTGTTTTCATTAACCTAGTTTTCGGCAATAATACATGAACAGTCACGCAGGAAATTAATTATAAAGTTCAAAAAATGTTTTTACGCCATGATTTATGAATGCCGGGGAACTAAACCGTTCCCCCGGCATTCATAGTAACATGTTTTTATTTTTTGTTTCCATATTTAAATGGACATTTCAAATAAAAATTACTCATGGCTTTTATTTTTGTAAATTTCTATTAAAATTTGGATTTTCAAATGTTATAATTAATTTCTTCGATAAACACTCTCATTTGTTAGGGATGGGACATATTTTATCTTTGTTCCGGGAGTGATTTTTTTTTTTTTTTTTTTTTTTGAACAACGTACAAATTTGATTGTGCTTTCTGGAAATTTTATGTGGAGAATTCAGTAGTTTTTCCATAGTTAAGGGCCAAACAATAATTTGAGAGCGAATCAAGTACAGTGAAGAATACAAAAATTCGAGATTATTTTGAGTAGATTGGTAATTTACTACAATCAAATCTTTAAAGTCTTATTTTATAAATATTTCTTCGTTCGGTACGTTGCTTTTCACATCTTGTATATGATCAGCAGCTAAAAACGTGATATGTAGCTTATTCAAAAAAAAAAAAAACATATTTTTTGTCTTAGGGCGTAGAAATATAAAAATTTGCTCCAAAAATCTAGTAGCAAAAATGTAATTGCAGCATTCCTTTTTTTAAGAAATCATTTGCTTTTATTATTATTTTTTATTTCAAATTCAATTGTCAGAAAGGCTTTATAGTTTCTAGAATACCAATATTTGTAAAATGTTAGTTGCTGTAGCTGATGCATACATAACGTGACCATACGTCCCGCTTTGGGCGGGACAGTCCCGCTTTGAGGTTATCTGTCCCGCTGTCCCCAGCTAGAGCAAAAATGTCCCGCTTTCGAAAATACTGGATATTGATGAAAAATACATGAGTTATTTTTTCCCCGTGAACATATAATTTATTTGAATAGTTTTTTTCAAGCAACATTAACATTAAAATTAACTCGAAAGATTTTGTAATGCTAATGCTGGAGTTAATGTCGACGTCGTCGACGGCGTCAAATGTCAAAAAAATTAAATCGTATGAAATTTTATGAGAGCAGTTAATCTTAACGCCGTAAGAAATTCGACGCCGAAAAAGTTCAATCTGTTTCAACTTTTTCGGCGTCGTCGATGGCGTTGACATTAACTCCAGCATAACAAGGGAAATCACAAAATTAAAAATGCTTATAAAAACAGAAAAAGTTTCTGTCACTCTGTCAGTACCCTAAGCATAGACGCTCTAAATTGTTCTGGTATCTTTTCATCGCGAAGTCGGAGAAGGCGAGCAAAGTCAAACAATTTATTTTCAATGTTAGTGATTGTAACATTACAATAATGCCTAATCGCAAGTGTACTTCTAACATTTCTTTGCAAAATAAGTATCCATTTATAAAACAAAGAAGTGGTGAATCAGACGTTACGTGTGAAAAATGTCGTACTGATTTTAGTGTTGGACATGGTGGTGCCAGTGATATTGAGAAGCATTTAAAATCGGAAAAACACAAGCTTTCTGATCAAGCTGCCGCTTCAAGCTCGTCAATGCTTTCTTTTTTTAAAAGAACAAATTTGGCGACTTCCAAAGACTTGGATATAGCTGCAGCGGAGGGTGCGTGGGCGTACCACACAGTGCAAGAAAACCACAGTTTTCGTTCGAATGACTGTGCTTCAAATCTAATACAAACATGTTTTGAGCAAAAATTTAGATGTGCCCGTACAAAATCACAAGCTATAGTTGTAAATGTGCTGGAACCTATGGCGATGGACGAATTGAAAGAACACCTTCACGAAGCCCACTGCATATCTTTATTAACCGATGCTTCCAATCATGGCTCAATAAAATTATTCCCTGTTTTAGTTCGCTATTTTGTACCATACGAAGGCGTGAGAGTCAGGATTTTAGAGTTTCAAAAGCAGCCAGGCGAATCATCTGATATAATTGTGGATTATTTGAAAGAAGTATTATCTTGCAATGATTTGAATAAGAGAATTGTGGCATTTTGTGCAGACAATACAAACTGCAATTTCGGAGGAAAGAATAGAAAAGAGATAAATAATGTTTACGCGAAATTGAACCTATCCGTCGGAAGGCAGCTCATTGGGATTGGGTGTGGAGCCCATATAATTCATAATGCTATCAAAACAGCCGCAGATTGTCTCCCTGTTGACTTCGAATGCATCATTGTGAAAATTTATTCATTCTTCTACATCTACAGCATTCGGGTAGAAGTTCTGAAAGAGTTCTGTGATTCCACCGACACAGAGTATCAGAAACTGTTGGGCTACAGTAAAACAAGGGGGCTTGCTTTAATGCCGGCGCTTGAGAGAATTTTAAAAATGTTTCAGCCTTTGAAAAACTATTTTCTGAGCATATATAAATGCCCTACTATTTTAAAAACGTTTTTCGAAAATCCCAGCTCTGAATTGTGGTTATATTTTTTGCACGCACAGACAGCGATTTTTCATCAAGCCGTGTTGAAAATCGAGGGACAAAACGTGTCCGCAATAGAGTCTGCGAATGAAATTAATCGTCTCCGAGATAACTTAGAACTTAAAGAGAATTCGATTTTCCTTCCTCATTCCGTCCGCAATCTACTGGTAAAATTACAAAAAACTGACGTTGCTGTTGATGAGCAGAATGTGAAAACTGCGCAGCGGATTTTTATAAGACAAGTAAAGAATACTTGGAACAGTGGTGCCAGTTCAATGCACAACTACCAGTATTTGAATGGTCAAATTTGAGAAAAGTCCCTACTTGGGAAGACGTACAGAATGTGACGGATTTGCTGATCACACAAAGATTTCTTAGCAGTAGCCAAGATACGGAGGTGTTCGATGAGTTTTCGATAATTTCCAGTTACGTCACAGTTGAAAAAATCAAAAGCTGGAACGATGAGAATGTTGCTACTGAAGACCGTTGGGTGGAGCTGTTTAAACACTTCCGTGCTAATAATCTCAACTGCACAAACTTTCGCACAATTATTGAGTATGTTTTATGTATGCCTGGAAGTAACGCACCTGTCGAAAGAGTTTTTTCCCTAATGAATAAAATATGGACAAGTGAAAAAACGCAGTTAAGTGTGACAGTTTTAAAAGCTATTTTAATTACTAAGACTAACATCAACAAACAATGTAATCAGCTCCATTCCTACTTGAAAACTAGACCCGATATTTTAAAACTAATTTGCTCTGCTGACAAATATAAAACAAATACTTAGACATAAGATTAATTTCATAAATTAGATTTATACGCATTCTCTCCGTTTTTGAATAAAATTTGTTTTTAAATGCATAATTTTTTTTTTTTACAAAATTCCGCAGGCTTCCCGCTCTGACGAAAAATATAAATGGTCACATTGTAGTTTATTGGCCTGTTCCAGAACTGCAAGAATGTAAAACTTTACTACGACATCCCATTTTCCCTTTATGATATCAAAAAAATGCAAAACCCGTAGACTTTGCAGGTTCTGTTGGATCAGAGCATATATTATGGTACAATATGGACAAGACAAGAAAATAAAAAAAATTGAAATCGTTGGAAGCTTTGCCCTTTCTTGATTTCAATGTAGTATGGTTCCATTCAAGGATTATCTGCTAGGTAGTGTGGTCATGCCAAGTGTTTTTTTAACCATAAATATGAAATTGCAAAAATTTTTACAAAAGTACAGAACATATGTCAGCACACATGCGAATCTTAACACTTCCCTAAAGTCCGAATAAGAAATTGGCAATGCAGTTAAAATATTTACTTCGATAGTCAACACCACTAAATTTCCTAAGCCAGAAAATAATCCCTACAAGCCATCGACCATTCGAAAACACCTGTTTTGAAAAAGGAAAGCCACAAGAGAATGACAGAAACACCGCTCCTCTAGGCTAAAAGAATGTGAAAAACTTCTAAAGCAAGCACGAAGAGCGAAACTTAAAAATATTCTTAAATAACCTGGAACCCACAGAGATAACTGACTACAGCTTATGGAAAGCCACAAAAAACTTGAAAATATCTATCGCCCACGGATCTTCAATTCGCCTAAAAAATGGTACTTGGGCAAAAACTACAGAAGAAACAGTAAACACATTTGATAATAAACATAATTTGATAAACACATAATGATTCCGAAACATGGAAAAGATCCAACGGATCCATATCGGTAATACAAAGAAGACTTACATGGAAACAAATCATCGACGAAAAATTATCCAAATTAAACTAAAAAGGCCAATTTTGACGTGATAATTGATAAATGTTCTTCTATTAAATTGGAATACAAAGTCGTATTATATAAGACAGTAATAAAGCCAATTTGGACTTATGGCATACAACTCTGTGGCATAGCTAGTGCCTCTAACGTAAGTAAGCTACAAAGAATACAACCGAATGTTTGTGTTACCCTCTTATTATTTTCAGTTCTTGTATGATCAACGTTTTTCGTCGCCCACTGTTATACTTCTACAGTAGTATGGTAAAATGGAGGCCGTTTCTGTGAAGTAATTATTATTGTAGTCCGCGAGATGATTATATTTAACTGTATGTAAGAAAGCAACATTATATCCGTAAGACTATTTCCGTATTCCGCGAATCACTCTAAACTAATCTAATCACTAATCACATCTAAACTAATATGAATAACCTACTCACAAAAAACACATCTATATCTTGAAAAAAAAAATAATAATAAAAATTAGATCATGAAAAATATAGGGTAATTGTATTGACAACCCCTCTATAAAAAATAATAGTACGTAAGATATCAATAATTATTGTTATTTTTATCAAAATGTATGAAATATTCAATAAATTAAACTAATATTACAAATAAGAAAAAAAAAAATCAAAACCAAAAAAGAAAAAGAAGTAAAAAACTTGCCTTAACAAGGCAAAACTCAAAAATTCAGCCGAGCCTGGCTGTGGGATTTGAACCGCGGACCTCGGTGTGCAGCCAACTAGAAGTTGCCGTCTCTACGTTCAGAGCCATTAACCCGTCTTTCTAGAAGCAGCACTAAAACAAGTGTATGCATTGGAAGCAATGTAGTTGTTGTGGACAAAAAATCCATCACTACAAAAACAAAACTTTGCTGTGAAAAAGATCTACCAATAGAACTTGAGTCGAACCTGGAGAGTTTCTAGTGTATAATTCGCATATGCTAATTTGCAATAAGTTCGAAATATATACTACTTTCCAGAGAACGGCCCTTGTAAGCCATCATCCACACCAAATATGCCTGATGAGCCCCTTAACCAACGGCGAAACGCGTCGCATAGTGGTGAGTGTGTGATAGTGTCTATCTGGCTTTCCTTTTCACTGCAAATTTCAGATCATTAAGCTCGTCTCGAAAGAGGAAACAAACACATAAATCATAAAACATATGATCTTCGCCTTAACAAGGCAAAACTCAAAAAGCATTAAGTTCGGCTGGACCAAAATTTTAATACCCTCCACCTTAGGGTTAAAGAAACATTAGAGCATATTATGACCCACTTTACCAATTTTTAGACATATTCATGGGGAAATGTGCCAAAAAATTATTATACTATCAAAATGCCGAATATTGGGAAATACGGCTATATGAGGCTATACAAAAAACGTGGACCTATACATACAGTGTTTCACCAAAAGAGCTAGAACCCATTAAGACCAACAAATACCAATTTCTAGACAAATCCACGAAGAAAAGTGGCAAAAACCATTAAAATGCCGAATACCGGGAGGTACCGTTATATGGGGGCTACATCAAATCGTGGACCTATACATGCAATGTTTCGCCAAAGGAGCTAGAACCCATTATGACCTACAAATACCAATTTTCAGACAAATCCGTGAAAAAATGTGGCAAAAATCATCAAATTACCAAATATCGGGAGGTACCGTTATATAGGGACTATACCAAAACGTGGACCTATAATTACAATGATTCGGCACATGAACTGGGACCCATTATGACCTACAAATACCAATTTTTAGACAAATCAGAGAAAAAATGCAGCAAAAACCATAAAAATACCGAATATTGGGAGGTACCGTTATATGGGGGCTGAACCAAATCGTGGACCCATACATGCAATGTTTTGCCACCGGAGCTGGAACTCATTATAAACAACAAATACCAATTCTTAGACAAATCCGTGAAAAAATATGACAAAAACCATCAAAATACCGAATACCGGGAGATACCGTTATATCGGGGCTATTCCAAAGCGTGGACCTGTACATACAATGTTTCGCCACAGAAACTAGTACCCATTATGACCTACAAATACTAATTTTCAGACAAATCCGTGAAAAACGTTGCATAAATCATCAAAATACCGAATATCGGGAGGTGCCGTTATATGGGGCCTATACCAACACATGGACGGATATATCTTATTTTAATGCCAACCATCCTAGACACAATACAAATTGCTCTGCTAAATTTTGGCGCTCTACGTCAAATACTCTGGGCTGTATCGTGATCTCAACAGACGGACATCGTTAAATCGACTTAGAATTTTATGCTGATTATAAATATATATACTTTATGGGGTCTACGACGAATATTTAACGATGTTACAAACGGAATGACAAAGTTAAAAATGAAAAAAAAACTAGTAAAAAAGCTGTAAGTTCGGCCGGGCCGAACTTTGAATATCCTCCACCATTTGGTACAAATTTGGCAATTTTGCAAAAAAATAAAATCTGTTAAAAATTCTGTTAAAATCTTAAAATACAGAATGTAGCCGTATATTAGGGCTGTACGACGACGTGGACCTACATAGGCAACTTTTGTCTCAAGCTATTACAATATTCAATGCGAAACTTTAAAAAAGAAATCTCTTTATAATGTAGCTAAAATCATCAAAATTCCGAATATAGGGAGGAACTATGGGAGTTGTAAAACGTGGACTTGCATGTTTTTTGTCATAGGCTGTTGTATCCATTACGAACTTCAAATGCGAAATTTGAAACAATTCCGGTAAATAATGTCGCTAAAATCATCAGAATACCGAATATCGGGAAGTACCGTTATATGGGGGCTATACGAAGAAGTGGACCTAAATGGCCCATTTTCTGCTTTATTCTGTAGTATCTATTACGAACTTCAAACACCAAATTTGAAACAATTCCGGTAAATAATGTCACTAATATCATCAGAATACCGAATATCGGGGGGTACCGTTATATGGGGCTATACGAAGAAGTGGACCTAAATGGCCCATTTTCTGTTTTACACTGTAGTATCTATGACCAACTTCAAGTACAAAATTTGGAACAATTCCGGTAAATAATGTCGCTAAAATCGTCAAAATACTGAATATCGGGGGGTGCCGTTATATGGGGGCTATACGAAGAAGTGGATCTACATGGCTCATTTTCAATACCAAAATACAAATTTCAGTAAAATTTTATCAACCTACTTCATTTCGTTCGGAAGCTAGAGTGATTTCCACAGACAGACAGACGGACGGACGGACATTGATAAAGCGACATAGAATTTTGTGGGGCCTAAAATGCATATTTCGACGTGTTACAAACGAAACGACAAACTTAATTTACCCTCCATACTATGGTGGAGGGTACAAAAAAGGGTATAAAATGCATTAAAAATGTGCACAAAAATGGTACAATCCCACGGCAGCGGGATCTACGATACCGGATTGACCCGAAACAACAAGATCTCAGTTTCGGCCAGCGGCTGCCAACTCAGTATGTGCAAGTTTGTGTTTGTTTATTTTTCTGCATTGGGAGCAGCATATCCCGGAATGCTTGCTCCGGACTTTATTGGTCCGTGCCGGGATTGAGGAAAACCCCGGACCTTGGTTCTGCTCGGTTTGTCAGAAAGTCATCCACCACAGATCTGTTTCGGTGCGATGTAATAGATGTAGAGAATGGGTGCACTTCAAGAACTGTTCCGGAATTAGGCATTTGCGAGACTACAGCGAAAGGGATTATGTTGCGACTTGCTGCAGTAACGTAGTCCCCAGTGAGTCCACTTTTTCGTCGTCCTCATCAGAGACCATCTTAAATCCTGCAGCATTGGAACCGATTTGAGTAAGCTGTGGGTAACGGTTAAGTCGCTCTCGAACCCTGGAAAAAAGGATGATAGGACCTCAGTCACTTTTAACGACGTAACGGTGACTGATCCGAAGAGGTGCGCGGAGTATTTTAACCAACAATTTGTCGAGCACCCCGAGAGCGATAGGGCGAAGCGAAGAGTACTACGTCGTATCAGATCTCTTCCCGCTGAGGAGGAACCACCACAGTTTACGATGGGTGATGTTGCAAATGTCATCCGTAACGCTAAGTCATCCAAAGCGTTGGGCCCGGACGGAATCTCGATGGTAATGTTGAAGCAGCTGGATACTCCGGGACTCGAGTACTTAACGAAAGTTCTCAATTTGTCGCTAGCCACCCATATAGTGCCCGAAACCTGGAAAATGGGCCGGGTGGTCCTGCTACTGAAGCCAGGCAAGGATGCCAGTAAAGGCGAATTGTCAGGCAGATTTCGCTTTTGTCGCCAGTAGCTAAGACTCTTGAGGCTTTACTCCTTCCCTGCATTAGAGGAAGCTATACAGCTGCCAACCACCAGCACGGAGTCCGTCCACAACATAGTACCACAACAGCATTACACGTCATTTCCACACATATAAGTAGGACTTGGTAGCCCTTGACCTATCAAAGGCATTTGATAGGTCAATCATGCCATACTGACGGATGTGAAGAGAACTACCCTCCGGCCAAGTTTGAAACGTTGGATAATCGTGCGTGGAATTCCGGAACAAGAAGTCCAAAGCCCGTAGATTTCCTCAAGGTGGGGGATATCACCGGAACTGTTTAACCTCTACCTTTCCGGAATTCCTCGCCCTCCAGACGGCATTGAGATCGTAACGTAAGTGGATGATTGTACGATCATGGAGTCGGGCCCTGTGGTCGATAACATATGCGAAAGGCTGAACCCGATCTCGCGGAACTTGCCGCATACTTCCACGCGAGGAATATGAAAATATCTGCACGAAATCAACAGCCACACTCTGTACCATATGGTCTGAATGTTCAGGTCGAGGGAAATTTAATACCGACCATGAACTACCCCATGATTCTAGGGGACACATTCGACAGCATGTTCAAGTCGTCCGCGCAAGCCGCAGCTATCTGCGACAAGATGAAAAGTAGGAACAAGGTCCTTAAGGCGCTAGCTGGAATCACTTGGGGTGCGGACATGGAAACTTTGTTGACCTCTTATAATGCGAGTGTGCAGCCTAGTGTGGTCTGCGAATACTAGTGCTACGCAGTGGAAGCATATCAAGACCTGCCAGAACGCTGCCCTGAGAACAGCGACAGGGTGCCTTCTCATGACACCAGTGGACCATCTACATGAGGAGGCGAAAGTCCTTCCCTTACGTCAGCATAATCATATGCTTTCGTTGCAGTACCTGCTTGGGTGTTACCGTGAGAGTCATCCCAACCATCATATGGTGGATAAATTTCCCCCACCAAGGTGTGTCAGGAAGGACATACATGAGCTAGAGAGGGAGGTCCAGCGCTACAAGATAGAATCTCTAGATCAAGAAGCCTATCAGACTGGTCTGAGTGGCATTTATACCGATGCAGTCTCGGAGTCCACCCCCAATCCTTGCAGCTGAAGAACGTCAGCTTTCAGACAAACCAGGGTAGTTTTGGCGCAATTATGTTCAGGATGGTATAGTCGTCTCAATTCGTATTGGGCACGAATTGATGAATATGTAGGTGACGCCTGCCCGGCGTGCGATACAGGCCCGCACAATACGCTACATCTCTTTAATTGCACAGCCAAACCTACCCAACTGACTCCAGAAGATCTCTGGCTACAGCCCATTAAAGTAGACGAATTTCTAAACCTGGAGCTGGAACTAGATTAGCAGAACGCAAACACATGCATGTACTGCTGCTATAACAACAACAAAAATGGTAGTTGGAAGCATGTTATAATAAAAACAAGGTAGGGCTATGATATCATATGATTTCAATTTTTTTCTTGTTTTAATATGTCAACTTTATTTGCTTACGTGCGTGTACTCAAAAAAAAAAAAAAAACAAATAAAAAACATTAAGTTCGGTTGAGCCGAACTTTTAATACCCTCCACCTCAGGGTAATGGAAACATTAGAACCAATTATGACCCACAAATACCAATTTTTAGACATATTCGTGGGAAAATGTGACAAAAGCCATCAAAGTGCCGAATACCGTGAGGTACCGTTATATGGGGGCTATACCAAAACGTGGAATATACCCTCTTTTCCAAGGTGGAGGGTATAAAAATTAGGAAAATATTCGAATTCGGGTGTTTCAAAAAGGTTATTGCATCGGTAAAATCTACAGTTTTCGTAGCGAAATAAACCTTTAGGGATATATAGAACATGATTTTGAAAAGAAATGTTTACCTTTCATTCAGTTTACGCGGTCTTCAATTATTTATTCAAAATCAATATTGTTTGTCTTTTATTGTTTTGATAATAATTCTGACATTTCAAGCCAAACAGGTAGACCTCTATATTTGCAATTTTTTTCAAAGTTAGCCTACCTTGTCTTCATTGTACCCATGGTACCTGTTTGGCTTGTAATGTCAGAATCACTATCAAAACAGTAAAAAAAAAACAAAAAACTTGTTGCATTGATTTTGAATAAATAATTTAAAACCGCGAAAACTGAATGAAATTTCTTTTCAAAATAATGTTCTATATATCTCTTATGGTTTATTTCGCGACAAAAACTGTAGACTTTGTCGTTGCATATGTTGCAATAAGCATTTTGAAAACACCCGAATTTGAATATTTTATGAACAATTTTTTTTATTATTGAAAAGAATACGCACACATTAACAAATGAAGTTGACGTATTAAGCCAGAAAAATAAAAAATTGAAATCATATGGTAGTTCTGCCCTACCTTGAATTCATTGTACCATGATTGTACCATGGTTGGAAGCATTGCTCAATAAGAAAAGTTGCTTAACTTCAAGGAAGTTAGGAAAATGCAAACCTGTATTGGAGTATTAAACATGCAACAATTTGTTTTCCCCAATTATTATTTTGGGGAAAACGCACAAAATTTATAAGTAATTTTGGTATTTCTCCACAAAATTGAAGGAAGTAGGACAAGATTGTTTTATACCAAAATAGTCCATTTTGTTGCCCGTTAACGTGTATAAAACACATATCTGTTGTCTCTAAATTTGAAATAATTTCAAACATTACCATCGTTCTCCACCAATAAACAAACATTGCTTTTCTAAAAAAAACAATAAAGGGATTAAGCCTGACCATTTTGCAACAACATAATTTCAAATTATTTTCAGTTTTATATAAAACAAAGGTCAGTCTGTTTTGAATATGGGCACCGAAAGAAAAAATTGTATTAAGGAGTCGCTTTGTTCTACCTTGTAAGTGTGCATTGGTTGGAAAATGTTTCTCTTTAGGAATATCTTCAGTATTATCTTCTAAGAAGAATGTGCAGAAAAAATGTAAATTGTTCAAATATTTTGACTAGAAAAATTTTCCATTTCCATCTTTTTTTTTTTTTTGTTATTTTTTGACATTTATTGTTTTTAAGAATTTCGTTGTGGAATTTGCTGACGACACTACCTATTTAATATACCTTGGTTCAAATGGTTCCTTTCATCTTAAAGGTTCATTGAACTAGTTCGCCACGGAACCTCACGACTCTAATAGTGTGTAAACATAATAATCTTTTACTTCTCCATCATGTTACGAAACTCCAAACTCTTGCTACAAAATGTGAAGGGTATGAATACTGCGACCCAAATATTATTATATATGATTTAATAATCGTTACAATGAAATATTTCAACAGCTTTAATTAACCAAAGAAGCTCGGCAGGTCTAAAATATTTTGCACCACCGGTCAAATATACGGGTATGTCAAGTCAAAAATTAAAATCTTAGTGTTACTAAAATCTATAAGTTTAGACTTTAAACAGGTTGAAAGACCGAAGTTACGTATTATGGAAAGAGTGCCGCAATACCCTCCCAATTTGAGGCCTCCCAAAATGCAAAAGAAATTACGTTTCATGCGTGGGCCCGAAGTGCTACATAACAACCTTTTGCATAAGCAATATGGAATAATTGCTAGCGGCGGTGGGCGATTACGTTGGGGGCATTTTGAAATGATGCGCCTTACCATTGGTCGCAAAATGGATACAAACAGAATGTTTGCAATTTGGAGAGTTCCAGCTCCGTGGCAACCGGTGACTAAAAAAGGGCAAGGACAGCGCATGGGAGGAGGAAAAGGAGCTATCGACCATTACGTTACGCCAGTAAAATCTGGTAGAGTTATTTTGGAAATATCTGGAAAATGTGAATTCGCAGAAGTTAAGCCTTTCTTGGATCTAGTTGCAAACATATTACCGTTCAAGGCCGAAGTTGTATCCCAAGAAATTCTTGATCAACGAGCACACACGAATGAACTTTTGCAGAAAGAGAATCAAAATCCATTCTCAATGAAATATGTTATGCAAAATAATTTAAGCGGTTGCCATCGATGGCTCTCTCCAGTAGATCATAAGTGGTTCGGAAAATATGTATAATAAATAACAAATTTGTTTGATGCTCATGTGTTTTTTAATAATTTAAGATTCAACAAAGTACATATAATCCTGATCAGAGTAAAATTCTAAGTCGATTTAACAATGTCTGTCCGTCATTCGGTCTGTTGTCTGTAATCATGCTAGAGTCCAAACTGTATCTGATAGGAGGTTAAAATTTTGCCTAGAGTTGACTATTGTCTGCAGATAGGTAAAGTTCAACGTTTTCTTATATCCCCCATATAACTGGAACTCATGCTTTTTAACGGAATAATTTAAAATTCGGTATTTAGAGTTTGTAATGGGTTCTACCTCCTGTCGCAGAACATTGCCTATATAGGTCCACGTTTTCCTATGGCCCCCATATAAAGGAACTTTCCAATATTTGGTATTTTGACGACCTCTAACGAGATTACTAAAAAATCAGAATTTGGATTCTGTAATGGGTTCTTATATTGAACAATTTTTATATAAGTCACCGATATTCGTTATTTCGATTTTTGTACTCAAATTTTTTAAAGAATTGAAAACATTTATCATATATCAAATGAAATAATTTCGATTTAAAATTACATTTTCGAATAACATTTGAAATATATTGAATTACAAATGGAATTCTCGAATTACAAATGAAATGTTACGAATTAAAACAAAAATGTTTCAAATTACATCTGGAAAAGGAGTATTATATTCAGGGGATTACTATGTAACTCAATTCTATATTTAAATAATTCGGATGCGTATTTTTCCAACCAACTAACTAGAATTCGCAAGCAAATATCCAAATATCGGATACACATACTCTACTTTCAGATTTGCATTACTCTTGTTCTGTTCCAGAACTGCAAGAATGTAAAAGTTTTTACTATGATAACCGATTTTCTCTTTATGATATCGAAAAATATTGCGAAAGTTGTAGATTCTTGCAGGTACTGGAACAGACCGATAAAAATACACATTTCTACATATATATATACATATATATATATATATATATTATATATATATATATATATATATATATATATATATATATATATAAATATATATATATATATATATATATATATATATATATATATATATATATATATATATATATATATATAAATATATATATATATATATATATATATATATATATATATATATATATATATATATATATATATATATAAATATATATATATATATATATATATATATATATATATATATATATATAAATCAATTGTTGTTTGTTGGTAACGGAATCAGTTGAAAACGGCTGGACCGATTTGCATAATTTTTTGTACAAACGTTCGTCATACCCCGAGTTAGGTTTTTAAAGAAAAAATGTTAACCACGCCTCCTTTTACGTCCACTATTACGATTTATCTAAAATCTTTATATTTGCCAAAATAGTGAAGATATCGGTTTGATAATTATTACACGAGATGCTGTTGGCTTTCCATCCAACCCTAAGTACTTATTTAGGGGCTGAGGAACTCGCCTACTTTTAAATCTATCTCTCTATATGTAAAAGAAAGTTGTGTTAGTTACTACTCTTATAACATAAAGACCGCCGGTCTGATTTTAACGATTTAGACAAATTCGGAATTGCCTCTTGGCAGAAAAGAATAAAATCCAAAAAAAATCATACATATAGAGAGATAGATTTAAAAGTAGGCGAGTTCCTCAGCCCCTAAATAAGTACTTAGTACTTATCTATATATATAAATGTAAGTTGTGTTAGTTACTACGCTTATAACTTAAGAACCGCTGGACTGATTTTAACAATTCACACAAATTAGGAGTTGTCTCCTCTCCGAAAAGGATAATATCCAAAAAAATCGCGTAAAAATGTGATATATTAACATTTTCATTTTGACTTTTCAAATGTACAATAGTAATGTTTTATTTTGCATGATTTTTTTCTATTTTGACTGGCTTTTTTCTAATGTACATTTGTAGTGTTTTTTATTTTTTATTTTTGAATTCGAATATTAAAACCAATTTATTTAATTGACTTGATTTCTTGAGAACTGAAATTGATGGCGGGTTACATGGAAGTGTAATAACGAATTATATGGTGGCGAAACGGAATAGATGATATCGAAATAATTTAACGCGGTCACACCAAAAGAAAGATAATTATTAATTAAAAGATAATTACTTTTTCAAATTCGCTAAAAAATCACGAAAAAGAGATCTCATTGCAAAAATTCTCAAATCGGGAAAAAATCGAAAAGATTTTCAGTGGAATCGAATTTTAAAAAAATAATAAGGGTCTTTAAACATTTGCTGTAATAAATCAGCGAACAAGTTGAAGATTTTTTCAATTTGCTATTCTTCTTTTGTCATTTTTTTTTAATTTGTATTTGCGAACACATTTAAACAACCAAAAATGACAGAAAAAGCCTAATGGAGCTCATTTCAAAGCGTGGACCTACTTCTTTCATGTGACAATAATCCGTCCAATGAGAGCTCAAAATGCAAAATTCTTTGGAAGTACAATCAGTAAAATACCAAATTTAAAGGGTGAAAAATAATAGAGCGAATGGGACTTTTAGTAAGAAAAGGATTTCTATCCTTCCAGGAATTCTTCCCAAACATTCAAGATACCTTAAATCACTTTTGCAGGTCATGATATCGATCATAACTCACGGATAAGGGTACAACCCGATTTTATATTTATATAACCATCATATGATTTAAGCTATTTTTGGGGTCTTGGCCACTTTTTTCATATTTTGGCCCTTATTTGGCATCTTTGTCTCTAAGGGGTTAGGGAACCATCATACAGATAATTGCCACATAGGAATTTATTTAAGTAAAGTCCCCACATTGGAGTATCCCCAAGTCCACTTTCACATATAATGTGTGGTCAGAAAAGAAAATTTTGTATTCTATTGCATTTGTAACTCTCAAGAGAATATTGGTTGGAAACGTAGATTTGGGAAATACATCTATATGATAATATGGTGGATAAAACTATTTTTACTCATTTAAATCACGCGGAATGTTTTTCAGTTTGACATGCTATGTTGTTCTGTTAAATTTTTGATTTGGTCTCTATTTGTCATATTGGATTATAAGGGCTAGAAGAATGTTTTCAATGGTATCTCCTGATTTTACCATATTTCAAAGGATTTGGCTAAAAATGTGTATTTGGGGGGTGAAAACTTACACAAAAATATGAACATATCTACAAATTTTAGAATTTTTTCCATATAATAGTACCCCCTCAAGTCCACTTTTTGGCGGACAAACAGACCGACATGGTTAGGGGGACTTATAAGAACGCTAATGGACAATCTGAGGTGCTAATGGCTTAAAAAAGTAATTAACTTTGGCTATTCTTAATTCATTCAGCGCTCAATTATGAGGTGTACAAAATACAGCAAATTCCAAATTACTGCTCATTTCACGATTTTTACCATACTAAAAATTAATTTGATCCCTTACATGGGGATAAGATTGATATATACTTTTTAATAGATTTGTATAGCACATCCACACCTTTGAAGCCCACGGCTTAAATATGGGTACAGGTATTTTAAAACACTTTTAATCGACCAGTACGGGAACACTTATATCAGTCATATCTGTGAATAATTATGCTTTGACAAATATGCATAATAGACAAAAACTACGGGCCGGCAACGCGGACCGGGCCAGCTAGTATATATATATATATATATATATATATATATATATATATACTAGCTGGCCCGGTCCGCGTTGCCGGCCCGTAGTTTTAGTCTTTAAAGCATAATAAATCACAGATCTGACTTATGTAGGCGGCACAATTTTGATTATAAGTAATGACGCCATTATAATTACTCCAATTTTGATTATAAGTAATGACTTGATTTTGAGTAATGACTCCATGACTAAATATAAATTAGTATTCATGGCAAAAATTATAATTACCGTCAGTTTTAGATATTTTGAATAGCCTGATCTTATTTTTCAGCTATAGGCTTTAATTTGAGTGTTAAATACCTATATGATAAAGAACATCTATAATAGCCCCATGTGAAAATTCAGCTCAATTTTTGATATTGTAAAAAGCATTCAAATGAGCTATAATTTGAAATTTTCATTTCCAACGTTTAAAATCCCGTACTGCGTGGTATTCAGTTTTGTCCACCTCATACTTGAAGGCAGAATGTTGTCAGAATAGCCAAAAAATTACTCTTTTGCTCCGATTACCGTAAGATGGGCATTAACTGTTTGTCATTTAAATTGTGGAGATCCAATAAAGTTACTTTATAATTTCGTATTTTTTTTTCATGTTTCTGCCACAATTTCCTACTGAATGAGTCCCAAATTGACATTTCAGAGTTTATTTCATATAGACGTACATCCCAAATCTACGTTCCCAACCAATATTCTCTTGGGGGTTACAAATTCAATAGAATACCAAATTTTCTTTTCTGACCACACATTGCTTGGGAAAGTGGACTTGGGGGTATACTAATGTGGGGACTATACTTAAATAAATGCCTATGTGGATAATTATGTGTAAGACGATTTTTTACCCCAGGGCTTCTTTACCCCAGGTAGCCTCAAGACTAAGATGCGCCCTTTTCCGAAAAATAAAAATTTTATAAGAAGAGGTTCTCTTCCCCCTTAGAAACAAAGATGCCAAATAAGGGCCAAAAAATGAAAAAGGTTGCCAAGACCCCGAAAATACCTTAATTCATATGATGGTGATACCAAAACGTGTTATTTTTTGCAAAGATTGTTTCTTCTTAAATTATCAACATAAGCTAAAATTAGTACGAAAAATATGGTTAAAATGTAGAATATACTTGAAATCGTGTTGTTCCGTTATCAGGGGTTATGATCAATATCATGACCTGGCAAAGCGATTAAAGGTATCTTGAATGTTTAGGTAGAATTTCTATTTTGCGTTCTTTATAGTCGGTATTTGACTGATTGCAGTCCCAATGTATTTTGCATTTTGTGTTCTCATTTGACAATTTATTGTCATATGAAATTAACCCCATAAGGCTTCTTCGGTCATTTTTGTTTG